GACAGCAGGGAGTGGCAGTGTTTCCCTTGGGTGGACACCTCGATGCGGCGGCAGCATGGGGACGATGGAGGCGACGAGTGCATGCTCACGTGTTACACTGATACGCCGCTGAATGAACCTGATAGATTGGCCCGCTGGAAACACAAAGATCAGGCATATCTAGTCGTGCTCAACACCGCGACGCTGCAACTATCCCGGATGGACTTGCCGCCGCCATTGAAGGACATAGATCCTGTACGAACCGAACTTGGTCGGACCAGGGATGGAAGGCTCTTTCTGCTTTGCATAGATGACTACGATGCATGCAAAGGGATGCTCGCTGTTTGGTTATGGAGAGCCGATGCATGCAAATGGACGCCGCACAAGATTTACCCACTCAACAAATTCGTTGATTTCAATCTGTGTTCACAAGAGCATGATGTCATGGCGTCGGTTGTGAGGGTCATGGATGGTTTTGTGTACCTGTCCATTAAGTACGATAGGTATACCGGGTGGCTCCTATCCTTCTGCCTGGAAACAGAGCAGGTAAGCAAGCTTTTTGATCATAGGTTGGACTGCGGTATCCATCCCTACATCATGGAGTGGCCTCCTTCTTTGATAGGCAACAAGGTGAGCCCATATGTGCTTCGAGATGCTGCAGTTAAGTTACTTTAGAGCATTGGGGCTATTGTATAGCTGTGACAATCTGCCATCGATTTCATATTCTGCAAGTCTGGTCAATTGCTTTTGAGTTGATTACACTGCAAAATGACTTAATTCTAAGTCTAGTTGCAGTAACTCTGCTATGCATAACTCATGGTACAAAGTGTTCAGTTGCAGATTGTATATCAGGGAAAGGACTATATATTTCAATGGTTTGCATGTAGTTTTTGTGCCGATTATTTTAGTTTGAAAATTTCTCTCCGCTGAAATGATGTACTTGAATCATTACTTACGCCGATGTCATTTTATGTCCCAGGAAGATTCAGAAACCAAAGTTACCGGAGACGATGCGAGGGATGATGGTCCTGTGGGCACAGAAGGAACTCCCTCTGTTCTTGCCACAGCGTTGCAATCATACAAAGAAGCTTTAATTAATAATGATGTGGCAAAAGTCACTGAGATAGAGAAATTACTACTTTCGATTGAGGATGAGAGCAAGTCTCTTGTGCGTAAAATCACTACTCTAGATGCAGAATTAACTATCGCGAGAGATCATTTGATATGAAAATGAGGAGTAAATAGGATTATGCCTTCCCACGATATGTTCATTTAATTTTGCGCATGGATGTTCATACCAGTATGTACAGCTGACAGTGCTGATATATATGATTATTGAGTAGATGATTGTGGATGTAAGGATGCTCACAACATTTAATTTTGAGGAGTATATCTTTTTGTTGTTTTTTGATAGAACTGTTGCATTATCGATACACTAATTCCTGTGGGATCTTCTGGGTTATTTCTTCCGCGAAATGTAATGCCGAATTCTTCCTTGAACTATCCATTGGACAAGGGAGAGAGAATTATGTTAAGTCATATCCAGGGATGCTTTTTGGATGATAAGGTGCATCCGCTGAAAAATTCCTAGGTGATAGGAGTGCTCCAGTGTGAAATCGTTATTGCGATTACCCTTGGAAAGTTTGTGAAGGTTTGAAGGTCACCCTCAAGGTCTACTGCTAGGGGTTGGGAATCGCATTCGTTGTGATATCCCAAGGAGAATAGAACGAGCCTTCGTAGCATCGATGTACCTTTGTGGTAACACATCCATTCCTCCAACGGTAATTAACTTCTCTGAAAGAAAGTGAACATCAGAATACATCGTTGTCTTCGTGTCTTCAGTTATCCCTAATCCTATATGTCTACTAGTGATTTACCTTAGTCACTAGACCCTGCATTTGCAACAATAATAGTGTTGCTTGCTCACCACATTGTTGTTGTTCACTATATTTCTAAGCAATTTAATCACATTTGCAACTGTTAGGATCACTTTCATATTTCGCATATTGTTTAGTAATTGAATTTTGTAATTGTACGTATTCACCATCCCTATAGGTCCATCTCGATCCTTTCAATTGGTATCAGAGTCCCGTGATCTATTCTTATGGCTTAACCTCCCTAGAGCGAGATGACCAAGGATGGGGAGAAGGAGGTTGCTAATATCGAAGAGCTAAGTGATGCATCATCGAAAGATGATAAGATATTTAGCTCCCCAAATTTAGCTAAAAAGCTAGCTAAACAAAAATTTGACCTAGATGTTTTCATTGATCAGGTGGTTAAGGTAAGGATGGCATTGTTATAACCCTGGTGGTGTACCTATCACTATAGTGAAGACTACACCATTGGCGGCCAATGCTCATGACACTCCTCCTTCCACCCTACCGTTGGGGACCAACCCCGTTGAGATTGCATGGGCTTACCCAAAATCTAAAATTGAGAAATTCAAATATCACTTCGTCCAACCGCTCACCCGACAGTTACGGCGTCTGTACTGAGATCCCGTGACTTGCTAGTCACCAGCCACAAGTGAACAGTACGGTAACTTGCCCCCCTCTCCACACCATACAATCAAGAATCTGTGGACAGGTCCATGTGAACAACACCTGAGCTACAGTGTTCGGTCTACGAGAACTCACCAACAGTTTTTGCTACAGTGCTTGATTTGGTCTGTTAATCCTGCATCCAATTGTTGGCTTCCCTACAGTTACGGCATGACTTGGCAGAGACCAGTCAATGGATCCATGTCCGTTGTGTCTGGGCCACCGTTTGGAAATGTAGTGCACTGCACAAAGTTCGCATCTTTGTCTGGCGGGTGACCACCAAACTCCTTGCCAACATGGATTTTTTTATTTGAGCAAAAGAGAGGCTTGCCCTCTCCGATTTCATATAAAAAACCCAGTTCTAGTAGTAGCAGTGTCCTTGCATGACAGGCAACGAAGCTAGGATATCTAGGCTAAATTATTTTAAAGGTATCATTACAAGCCAGCTCAACCAGGGAGCATACATGAAGCTAGTTTGATCACGGAAACAAAAGCAAACACGGGGAAAGCGAAGCGCGGGAGGCAAGAAAGAAATCTACATAACATCCGGACGACTTCTTCATTTTCTTCAGCTTTCCCCCTGTCTGTTGGAGGTCACTGACATTTGCCCTGTCTGTGATATGGATAAGACACGCTTCCACGCTTTTGTGCAGGTGCAAATATGCAAGAGAACTTTGGCTCCGTATGGCAGATTGTTGGTCTCTTCTGAATATAAGGCTGGTCATAGTGGGGAGTAACTTAGACTAGTGTCATGCATATGACACTAGTTTAAGTTACTACCTTTATAATGCAAAGTAATATAATAGTAGCATCATAGATGGCTTCATTTATTAGCTTGTATACTCATTTTGTTTTAGGAAGCGCTATGTTACAGTAACATATTATGTTACCACCTCTCATTAATATACTTGCCACATAAGCAAAAATTTCTTGAAGTGCGCTATGTTACTAGCTAAGTTACTCCTACTATGACTAGCCTAAGTTGTATGGAACACATCAGACCATAATGGATTTTACATGCAATATGAATATGCCAGGAGGGCGGCACTTAAATTTCTTCATGTTGGTGTTGAGAATCTGGCACGCAAGGAATGAACTTTGTTCATCATAAGCATGCACCTACAATGGATGCCTCCAATTAAAAAACATATTCGCTCCGATCCAAATTAGTTGACTTTTTTAGTACTAATTTATTTAAGCAATTTTTTTGAGTGCTAAGGGCATCTTCAACATGTTGTATGTTAGTCTTATTGATAAAATGTCCATGTCATCAACTAACAAGCTATCATACAACTACTTCAATAGGTTATATCTAAGGTACTCCCTCATTTCCGGTTTATAGGTCTCAATTCAAAGATCTCACCAACCAAGGTAGATGGTGAGTGGTGGAATACTTTTTGTAGTTTGCAAAAGCACCCAATTAATGCTCTTGTTTTTCTAAAAAAAATAAGTTTACCAATGCACTAATTGCAATGCATGCATGCATAAAGTACATGCATTGGTCAATTTTCTCTTAATACTTGCATTCAATGATTTAACGCACTTTAGAATCTGAACTTGTGATGGAGAACAACCAAACTGAGCCTTATAAAATGAAAAAACTAAGGGGGTGTTTGTTTACATGGACTTTTTGGTGTAGGGATAGAAAAGGTCCATCTTAAAGACTTTTTAACCAAACACGAGGGACTACTAGGGACTAAAAGTTGCTTTTTGGGACTAAATGAAGAAGACTCTCAAAGAGAGTCTTTTTTAAGACTTTTTCAACAATGCCCCTCCCTGCACTCATTGCCCCGCCGCCCCATGGTGTTGTTTGGTTGTTATTTTTCTGTATACTAGGGGTAAAATGGTCTTTTACATGTCATTTAATAACCTCTAGGGAGGGACTAGGGACTTTTTAGTTCCTGGAAACAAACAGAGAGAGACTTTTTAGGGACTAGAGACTTTTTAGTTGGGATTAGAAAAAGTCCTAGGACTTATGAACCAAACAGGGCCTAAAATTTTGAGATAAGCCTTGTAAACCGGAAAGGAGGGAAACCGATTTCACCTTGAAGCTTGTGCAAAGGTTATCGGTGAATCTATATACAACTTTGCTCTCTCTCTCTCTACATTTATTACATGCAACATCATCACTATGTCCTATGTGGCAAATTTATCAACACTTATCTTACGACTGTTGAAGATGCCCTAATTGACTCTCTTAGGTATACTTTTCCTGTCCGGTGAAGAATGTACACTTTTTGCCGGACGAAAGGAGTAACTTTTTTTTTCGAGAATCACCGAGGGAGTAACTAAACACGTAGCCATGCCTCCAAAACAAAAACTATGCGATGAGCAGCACCCAATCATTTGCCGTCCGACGAGTTAGTGGGCCGGCCTTTTGCCGCACAGCCCACGCGTCTGCCGTTACCTTCCGTAATCCCGTTCTCAAGGAAAATCCGAGCCGAACTGCGCCGCCGCCGCTGGAGATCGAACTAGGCAGACATGCCCCCCCAAGTAGAGCCACCGGCGCCGGCGCCGTCGCCGGCATCGGCGAAGTATGATCCAGCGGCCACCGCCACCACCATCACTTCCATCACCGACGACCTCCTCCGCGAGATCCTCGTCCGCCTCCCCTCCCTCCCGAGCCTCGTCCGCGCCGCCCTCGCCTGCCGCACCTTCCTCCGCGCCGTCCGTTTGCCCGCCTTCCGCCGCCGCTTCCGGGCGCTCCACCCGCCACAACTCCTTGGCTACTTCACCGACCCCTGCCGCACCGCCTTCCCTGCCTTCATCCCCTTCCGAAGCCGCTCCGACCCCGACCTCGCCGCTGCTGTCCGCGGCTCCGATTTCTTCTTCACCCGCCTATCGGAGGACGGTGACGACAGTAGGTGGGCGTTCAACGGCTGCTGCTCCGGCTACGTCTTCCTCCACAACGAGAACACCGACCAGATCGCTGCTTACAACCCCCTCACGCAGGTGCTGCATATCTTCCCCTACCCGCCTCAGGAGGCCTGCGACCCCTACTATCTTGATTTCCGCATCATCTTCTCGGAAGAGGACCGGAGGTTGTTCCGTGTGGTATGTGTTCGTCGCCGGAGGCGGCGGCGGAGGACGCTGGCCCGCTTCTCTGTCTTCTCATCGGACAGCAGGGAGTGGCAGTGTTTCTCGTGGGTGGACACCTCGATGCCGCAGCCTGGGGATGATAAGTCCACTGCTATGCCGCTGAATGAATTTGATAGATTAGTTTACTGGAAACACTTTAGTCAACCATATATAATCGTCCTCGACACTGGGACGCTGCAGTTATCTCGAATGGATTTGCCGCCACCCTTGCAAGATATGGGCTCCACGGAATTTAAGCTTGGCCAGACCAAGGATGGGAGGCTATCTTTGGTTTTCATAGATCACCTTCTTGCAAGCAAAGGAATGCTCGCTGTTTGGTTTCGGAGAGCCGATGGTGACGGCGTTGAGAAATGGATGCTGCACAAGATTTTCGCACTGAGTGAATTTGTTGATTTCTCTATGTGTTCAGAAGAGTATCATGATGTCATTGTGCATCCTGCGGAGGTCATAGGTGATTTTCTGTACCTGTATCTTTGTTATGATGGGTATACCAAGTGCTGCTGCCTATCCTTGTGCCTGGAAACAGACAAGGTTAACAAGTTCTTTGATCATAGTGTCCATCCCTACATCATGGCGTGGCCACCTTCTTTGGTATGCAACAAGGTGAGCCCATGCTTCCAAGACACTAGCAAAATTTCTCCCCCTGGCGTTTGGTCCATGCATCATATGCATTTAAGTTACTTGAGATCAATTGATTATTGTATAGGTGTGAAAATCTGCCTTCAGTTTCATGTTTTGCTAGCATTTATTCGTGAGAAAACAAAAAGTCTTGCGTCTCGATGCATTGATAGAAAAAGAGTCTGTACAAGTCTGGTCAATTGTTTTTGAGTTGGTTATAGAGCAATGACTTAATTCTTACTCTAGTCACAGTAGCACTATGTTGTGTAACTCATAATACAAGTGTTCAATTGCAGATTTTATACAAGGATTCAATATTTAATTTTTTTGCATGTGGTCATTGCAGATTATATGATATCTGTGCACTGATAGTATCTTAGGCTAGAATGTCTCTCCATTAAAATACTGTCTACACAATGCTTTGTAATCCTGACCACTATAAGGCCTTGATGTATTTACATTTTACACATCTCATTTCACTTCCATTGCTTCACTCGTTGCCAATTAAATCTGTCTCGTACTATTTTTTCTAAAGATCTGTGTTGTACCATTGGAATCTATGACCTTCTACGATTTGTCTATACAAACACTTGAATCCTTACTTACACTGAAGTCATTTTATGTCTCAGGAGGATTTGGAAACCAAAGTTACTTGAGACAATGTTGCGGATGATGACCCTGTGGGCACAGAAGAAACTCACTCTGTTCTTGTCACAGCATTGCAATCATATAAAGAAGCTCTGATTAATGGTGATGGGGAAAAAGTTGCAGAGATAGAGGCATTCTACTTTCTATCGAGGATGACAAGAAGTCTCTAGTTTGCAGAATTGACAACTGTGAGATATTGTATCTCGAGGGTAAGTGCCGGCATTGTTGGCTACAAGAGAAGGGCAGAAAGAGAGAGGTGATGACATGACTACTTCGTTGCCAGTTGAATCAGCCTATTTGAAATGATCATGGTGTATTTCTTTCAATGAGATGAGCTTTTTAGGGTAGCAAGGGAGTACTGGAGTCATAAGCTACGGCTAACGAGTGTAACAGATGTATGCCTATTTGGCAAGAGACAACTTTATCTTTCTGGAGGTTGCTATTTTACTGTGCGTCATTGAGTCACTTTGCTTCTTAGCTTGAGTACTTATCTGTTGTGGGTCCACTCTTTTTATCTTCTCGTTGGTCTTGTCTTTTTATTATTATCTCAGTCTTGTGTCATTTGTAACATTATTTTCCCATTGTGGTTGTTAGTTTCCTTCTGATTGGTTTTACATCTGAAATGGGGTAAACAGTTTCCTTCTGATTGGTTTTATATCTGAAATGGGGTAACAATGCCGCTGAAGGTGTGACGATTTTTTCTCTTAAGTTGACCAGTAACCGTTTGATCTAACTAGACAGAGAATTGAGCTTGTTTGCATATCTTAAAAACTAAGATCTTAATGCTGATGAAGCATTAAGCACGTAAAAGTTATGTAACACTATGCAATTTAGTTCTGGACTATTACAGCAAAACAAGATCATGGCTGGTTCTCGGTTCTAGTGTCAGGTTTGTTGCTGCTCAGCGGTGCTTGTTTTGTGACTGTTGTTGAAGCACTGAGATTTAACATCTTAGCATTTGGCAGGGGACAAGGCCATGAATTTGGTGTGTGCAACAGTCGCTCCGAAGGGAGGCAGTGAGATTCAGATCAGATATGGCTGGGCCATATGGCACTTGGGGCAAAGCTAGTGGACTAGTGGCTGGGCAGTCAACTGCATACTATAGTTCTTGGTGCTGAAGTGGGCAGAGGTATAGAGCAATCATCTCTGAATAGGTGAGGTCAAGAGCCAGCCTCACAGTGGGATACCACATATGCTTTTGGGTGTGTATTCTTTGCACTTACAGCTGCAGCTGCATGCTAGGTGTTTGTTGGTTGCTTCAGCAGTGCTTTGATTGTTGCAAATCTAGCAAGTTGCCTGACAGCTCCCTATCTCACGGTCTGCATGATTTCTAGCATCGCATGTGACATCCATTCCTGGTATCTCTACTGCATTTTCCAATTGACTTCGAGTCCATCTCTAGGGAGTAGGACTCTGGTAATGTAAGTTGCAACGCAAGGCTCATTCCTTAGACCTGAAATCATGAATAGTTTACTTGCATTGTCCATGACAGGGATATAACTAGTTATATTTAGTTTGGCCAAACACAGATGTGGTCATGTGGATGAGCTCATTTAATATATATATATACACTGAAAGGAAAATGTCTCAGTACCCTCTGTTTCTGTACATTCACAGGTTTTCTGGTCTGATTCAAATATAATTCAGCAGTATTATCTTTGGTTGAACAAAACGCAGCAGCTTTTCTACAAAAGGTCAGTTTCCTTCTCCATCTGTGAATATTTTCCAGCCCACGCCAATGTTCCTTTGTACTAGTTTTGGATCTGAGATCATATAACTGTGCAGAAATGTTTTCAACAATGCTTCGTGCTTAGGTCCAACAAATCTGTGATCGATCATTTTATCTTTGAATTTTTTTCATATACACATTGAAAGAACAGTGTCTCTAACTACTGCTCACCTTCCTTGTTTGCTTCTTCACTTGCAAGATCAAAATTCCTTATTTTTTTCTATATCCCTATGACTCTGTAAATGGTAATCAGGAGCTGCAGACACCAAAATGATGGCTAACACCTGCGAAGCCGAACTCCTCTTGGGACATCCTCAAGAGCTCACCAAAGACCGTCGAGCCAAGGAACGCAAGCGGCAGCTCGAACCTCGTGCCGTCGTCAGTGTACACGATGCAGCGGCCCTTGCCGGCCACTGGCAAGCATGATGTGCCACAAGACCCTTTGGTTTCTTCCGCAGACGTTGATGATGACAAGGTGAGCCTCTTCCTCCTCATGTCTTTGTCTGTGGAAGAAATGGTGGTGCTTAGCAATGGATTTATAGCTCAGGGGTAAAGCAAGGTGGAGTGTGTGTGATGGTTGGGCAGGAGGCAATGCCATGTGCAATGCTACATGTGGTGCTGCGGTTTGGAGGTGCCATGATGTGATCTAGATCAGGTTCTGCTGGGGCCAAGTGTTTGGCACTTGCCGGAGCTTGGCCTGCACGTCTCGCCTACACGCGTCGTGATGGGTTTGCTGGGGAAATGGCATGAGGACCCCATGGGGCCAAGTGTTTGGCACTTGCCGAGCTGGGGTTGGATGCCTTGCCTGTACAGCTAGCCGTGGTGATCGGTTTTCTGGGGAGATGGCACGAGGACCCCATGGGGCTCTCTCACCGAACAACATTTCAGATATGGATGGTGCTTGAAAATCTCATCAAAATCATTCATCACATTGTCTGTAGCTAGTTGCAACAACACTGCATGGAGAGCACTCAAGGGTCAAGGCCCTGTCCCCTGCCCACCGCTCTTGCTGATAGCTACACACTACCCACTGCCCTGAGCCCTTCTCTTCCTTCTACAATAAATCCATGGCCTGCTCAACACACACTTCTTCATCTCATCTACTCCCTCCGTGCCAAAATAGATGACTCAACTTTGTACTACAAAGTTGAGTCATCTATTCTGGAACGGAGGGAGTACAAAGCAACATCACAATCTACACCACACCTTTAGACTTTCAGAGCCAAACTGAAATTTAGCCAGCCAAGAAAATATCAGACTCAACCATGATCCACCCAAATAAGTTTGCTCAGCTAGCCAAGAAGTTCCAGCGGATTTTACCTGCCGGAGCCGGTGCCCGCCGCCGGCAGCATGCCTCAAACACATCCGACGACGAATGCTGCAGCACAGCGCCGTCTATGGTTGCTGATGAGGGCCACTGTGTGGTGTACACGCCGACGGAGAACGGTTTGAGGTCCCTTTGGCGTACCTCGGGACGACGGTCTTCACCGAGCTCCTGAGGATGTCCGAGGAGGAGTTTGGCTTCACCAGCGGCAGCGATGGAGGCAGGATCACGCTGCCCTGCGATGCCATGGTGATGGAGTACGTCTTGTGCCTGGTCAGGAGAGAGGCCTCTGAGGAGGTTGAGAGGGCGTTCTTGAGCTCCATTGATGGGCACTGCCACAGCTACAATGCTAGCTGCACGGTGCCATCAATGGCACTCAGCCATAAATTTGCTCTTTGTACTTAGCTACTAGCTTAGCTTCTGAAATGTCCGAGAGGAACTCTGTAGAGTCTGAATATGGCACATCCTTTAACATAGTTCATATTAATATGTAGTATTACTGAAGAAGTTTGAAGGAAACCATGTGCCTATATAGTTGCACTTGTCAATAGTTTTTCTTTAACAGATGAGAGGCTGGCTTAGTTGGAACTTGCGGTTGTACTTGAATGCGTGTTCCTAACATTTTGATTAGGTGCGAAAGGGACGATCTTAATTGATGCAGCACAGACAACTTGCGAAAGAGTGTCGTAACTTGGTTCTTGATGGCCTACCTGACTTGCAGGCTGTAGCCATTCCTTTAGCTCTTTCTCTGCACTTTCCTTTGCGCCTTCAGCCAGCTGCATGTTTGAAGATTCTGAATATATAACATATTCAGAATCTACTAAATATTGTGCCAGCATCTTCTGTAAAGTTTTGTCAGCCTCGATCGCCAGCTCATGAGCCAATTCATTGCTCTTCCTTTCCACAAAGACCACTTTGTGCGAGGCAAATCCGGCCAGCAGGTTTTTGATGTCCTGAATCACAGCATAGCAAGGGGCAAGGCACGCCTCCTGTTCGTATAGGTACTCAACAACAGTTTTGCAGTCCAGCTCCACTTCGATCGGTCCATTCTAGACAGTGGCCAATGACTGCAAACCTGCCATAACCGCCTTCGCCTCCGCTTCCTCCACACTCCCCGAGACAGTCAGCCGGCTGCCAATCGACAAGAATACATAGCCCTGATGGTCTATGGCAGCTGCGCCTAACCATCCCACTCCACTGTCCAGCAGAAAGTGTTAAGTTGTATATTTTTGTACACATTGTAACGTTGTTCTGTTACGTTGTATCGATCCTACTCCCTCCGTTCCTAAATTTTTGTCTTTTTAGAGATTTCAACAAGTGACTACATACGGAACAAAATGAGTGAATCTACGCTCTAAAATATGTCTACATACATCCGTATGTGGTAGTCCATTTGAAATCTCTAGAAAAACAAATATTTAGGAACGGAGGAAGTAGATTGTAGGATCTGAGGTCTCCCGCATGGACTGCGTGCCTCAACTCTCGGGACTCTCTCTCCCTCTCTATGTATACTCTCCCTTTCTATGTATACTCTCATGTGTAACAGAATCAATCAAGGGAAATTACACAAACACTTTCCAACTTGGTATCAGTCGCCAGGAACCTCTCCATGGCCGCGGACGACACCTCCTCCTCCTTCTCCGCCGCCACGAGCTTGGCCACATCGCCGGGCACCCTCTCCTCCTCCTCCTTGGCGCCTGCCGCCGGCACCTCCCTGGCTACCGCCCCGACCACCCCTCCGTTCGTCTTCGGCACGTCTCCAACCCTCTTCAGCGGCTCCTTCCCCGCCACGGCCTCCCAGTTTGCCCCCCTCTTCACCACCGCCGGCTCCTCCCCTACGCCATCGCCGGCCCCTGCCGCTCCCCACCCTATTTTCCGTGATCACATCACGAACCACATCAAGTTTCTCCTCAATCCTGCCAATCACAATTATCATAAGTGGAAGACTTTCTTTCTGATGGTCCTCGTTCGCTACGGCGTCTCCTACCTCCTCGACCACCCTCCCCCTCCCAATGCTCCGTCACAATACCTTGAGCTTGACGCCCATGTCGTTCTATGGATCTATGCCACTCTCTCGGACACCATGTGTGACCACGTTGTTGGCGCCACCACCACCTACGCCCTCTGGCACAAGATCAAAGACTTCTTCCTCGCCAATCGCGACGCCCGCTTCATGATCCTCAACCGCCAATACCGCAACCTCAAGCAGGGTGATCTCTCGGTGTCGGAGTACGCCCGCCGTCTGAAACTCCTCACCGACGCCCTCGCCGACATTGAGCACGCCGTTACCGAGGTGGATCTCACCACGCAGTTTCTTCACGGCCTTGACAAGCGGCTCGACACCATCCGCGTCGTCCTCGGCAACCAGGGCATCCCCTTCGACACCGTTCTCTCCCGTGTTGTCCCCGCGGAGGAGTCGTAGGCACAACACGCGGCTGAGGAAGGCGCCTCCGCGTTTGCCATGGAGGGCGGCAGCTCTTCGGGCGGCAGTTCCTCGGCCGGATCCTCTGGTGGTCGCGGGCAGGGCGATCGCGCGGCCGACCGCTCCTATGATCGCGCCCCCGACGTCCCTCATCCGTCGTCCAACCCCTCTGGCCGCGGGCGCAGTGACTGCTCCGGTGACGATGGTGACCGTGGACGCGGGCGCGGGCGCGGTCGTGGCCGTGGCCGCGGTGACCACTCCGGGTGCGGTTCGCAGGCGCCTCAGTTCTCTCCCTTCACGGGGTATTTCGCCCCGTACGGGATGGCTCTCCTGACGCCCCGCTCTGGCTGGATCCCGCCGAACGCCGCCGGTGTTCTTGGGCCCCGACCCGGCGCCCACGCCCAGGTGTACCCTGCCTTCACGCCCTCGCCGGTGTCGTCCACTCCGTACTATCAGCCCCCACAGCCATCGTGGGACCACCTCGCCATGCTCAACGCCGCCTTCAGCAACGGCGGCTACGCCACGTCCCCAGCACCCGAGTGGTATCTCGACAGTGGCGCGTCCTCGCACGTGACAGGCACCCAAGGTAACCTGACCTCGTTGAGTTCTTCATTTTCGCATTTACCTTCTAGCATTGTTATCGGTAATGGGCATCATCTTCCTGTCACTGACACGGGCTCTACCACCCTCTCACCTCATGATTTTCGTCTCACTGACATTCTTGTCTCCCCCAACATAGTCACTAGCCTCATCTCTGTTCGATCGTAAATTCACTAAAGATAATTCTTGCTCTATTGAATTTTATCCGTGTGGTTTTCTTGTGAAGGATCTTCGCACTCGACGAGTTCTCATGATCTCCGTTAGCCACGGCGATCTCTACCCCTTCGTTGGCAATAAACCGGCACCGGTGTCCGCTCTCCTCGTAGCCACCCCCTCGGACTTGTGGCATCGTCGCCTTGGGCATCCCGGCGCACACACATTTTCTTCCCTGTCTAAACATTTTCTTCATGATTGTAATAAGGCTCCTCACTCTCCATGTAGTGCTTGTCAACCTGGCCGCCAACCCCGTTTGCCTTTTCCCTCTTCCTTTAGCAAAACTTATGCTCCTTTTGATTTAATACATTATGATTTGTGGACATCACCCGTTGTTAGCTTCTCTGGTTTCCAATACTATCTTGTGGTGCTTAATGATTTTACGCATTACTTGTGGACCTTCCCCCTCATCAACAAATCCAACACATCCACTGTCCTACAACGCTTTTTTACGTTTATTCACACCCAATTCAATGTAATTATCAAAAGCATGCAGTGTGACAACGGTGGTGAATTTATCAACTCATCTCTTCGCGCCTTCTTCTCCTCCAACGACATTGCCTATCGCTTCTCTTGCCCCCATACCTCCCCCCAAAATGGCAAAGCGGAACGAATGATTCATACAACTAATGATGTCATGCGCACCCTTCTTCTTCAAGTCAACCTCCCACCACCCTTTTGGGTAGAAGCCCTCCACACGGCCACCTACCTCCTCAACCAGCGTCCCTCCCGTGTCATTGCGCCCCACACTCCGCATTATCTCCTCTATGGTGTTGCACCCACATACGACCACCTTCGTGTCTTCGGATGTCTATGCTTCCCGAACCAATACGCCACCATGGATCACAAACTCGCCCCCCGCTCGTCCTGCTGCGTCTTCCTTGGCTATGCCCTTCAGCACAAGGGTTACCGGTGCTTTGACCTCGCCACACGCCGCGTCATTGTCTCTCGCCACGTTATCTTCGACGAAACCGTTTTTCCATACACCTGCAGCACGCCAGACCACACCACCGTCACGACCACACAAAATCCCCATGCAAACCTCCTGCCCAGCCCCGGATTCCCTCCTGGATCCCTCCCACCTACCCCGCCTGGGCCCCACCCCCCACCAGCTTCCGTGCCCCGCCAACCATCCCCTCCCACGTCGCCCGCTGCTTCCCGCACCGGTCGCATCGCGCCAGCTGCGCCAACTCCCGCGTTCGGATCTTCCTCGGATCGCGAGTCCACCAACGCACCTGCCCCGCCTGGTCCCTCCGCATCCCCCTCGGATCGCGCGCCAGCCCACCCACCTGCCTCTCCCAGTCCCGCCACATCCCTCTCGGATCACGGACCCACTCCCGCACCTGGCTCGCCCGTTCCCGACGCTTAAGTGCTTACTCCCTCTGTTTCTTTTTACTTTGCATATAAGATTTGGTCAAAGTCAAACTACACAAAGTTTGACCAAATTTATATAAAAAATATGAACATCTACAATATTAAAACTATATAGTATGAAAATACATTTCGTGGTGCATCTGATAATGTTGATTTCATATTGTTAATGTTTAATTTTTTTAATATAAAGTTAGTCAAACTTTACAAAGCTTGACTTTGACCAAACCTTATATGCAGACTAAAAAGAAACGGAGGGAGTACAAAGTGAGAAGCAAAGCACTTGTTATGGGAGAGCCCACCATTCAAAAAGGTAAAAGGAAGACAGGCTTGTGCTTATTTGCTTTTTTACTTTGAGTTTATAGAAAGGTTGTATTATAAAAAAAGGGATGCCCACGGAAGATGCACTTTGGATGAGTTGGGGATGTGGCTTCACATGCGCAAAGTATTTGCACCCACAACGTCGTGCACCAAAGGCTAGAAGGAGCCCTCAACTTTGCAATTGTTTTGTTGCTCTATATGGCCCACAATGGATCCACCTCAGTTCTAAATCTTTTTTTTTGAAATTCAAACTTTTATTATTCAACGCTCCTCATTGGGGATCTTGTCTGAAATTACATGCAAAATAAAGTCTGGGGGCATAACCGGCCACTCCAAGCAACGATTATTAGAAACAGCTTCCCTAGCTAAAATGTGAGCAGCCCGATTAGCTTCTCTTCTTACCCATGCAATTTTCCACTCCTCCCTTGCCTCCATTATCTTCTTGACCTCCTCCACGATCGGCCCTAGCGGTGACAGA